CAGGACAGGCAGTAATCAAGGGAGAAAACGAAGCTGAATTTATCTGCAATTCAGTTTAGTTTTAGTTAGTTTTGCATTGTTCATTGTAGTTTTTATTTAGTTTTTGGTTTTTTGTAATTGTCGTTTTTATTTTTATTTCAGTTAATTAAATTATTTTTTCATCGCAAGTTTTTGTCTTAGTTTTCGTTAACTACAATAACCCTGGCATGAACAAGAGGTGGCTTCACAGAAATGTTTTTTTTACCGTGTTTCTGATTTCTGTATTTTTTTGTAAACAAGGACTTTATAACAGGATTTCACAAGTTCATGTGGATCGGACTGACTGACAATGAGACAGAAGGGATGTGGAAATGGGTGGATGGCACTCTGCTGACTAAAAGGTCCACAGCTTACTCTGTTATTCAGCTGCACATGATGACTTTATGGCAACTTGCTGACTGTCTGTCAAATATTTCTTGGGTTTTAGTAAAAATATGTTTGTTTTTTGGGGTTTCAGCTTCTGGCGTAGAGGGCAACCCAACAGCTTCTTATTCCAAAAWGAAGACTGTGCAGCAACGACCGACCTTTGGATAGACCTGCCATGTGGAAATCAAAACTTCTGGATATGTGAAAAAAYAGTCTCTCTATAAGTCAAAGTAAAAACTGTCACTTGCTCACTCAGTGGGGGATCTGGTTTTTTTTTTTCTAAATTAGGGCCATAAAGGGGCCAATCATCATATGATATACTGCAAGTGTTACGGGGGTTTTGACCTCTAACATATGGTTTATCATATTTGTCATATTTTCAAGATATAATCAAAATATAATCATGCAATCCACAACTATGTAATATGTTCTAATGAAACATTTTAAAAATGGAACCTGGACTGGTTTCAGTTCTTTATTCTTTGATTAAACAGTCCCAGGCTGATAAAATAACATGTCTTCTGATGCAGCTAACATGTGCAGTTTATTTTTAGCTGGGCTGTTCACACTCTTTTTACTTCTTTGGTACTCGGTCATAGTCAAGGTTTGAAACCAAGCTGGAGCAGGAAACTGGTATCTATAAGTGTTTGCAATTTGGTGCAGCATGATTAAATGTAAAAAGGATTGTTGGGTATGTGCCCTGAATGTCATTCTAGTTTTGATTCGATTTCAAGCTTTTAAACACTGTGGTGATGGTTATTCCATACAAACAGCAAAAGCTCAAGAAACAGCATCTATACAGTTCGAGGACATGTTACATAAGACAGTATAACAATGTTTCACAATCACAAATAAATGATGAAACTTTTCTATGAAAACCCTTCTGCTCTCATTGACAGTCTTGTGATTATCAGTAAAGAAAACAATCAGAATCAGAAATCTTTATTGTCATTGTAACAATGTGACATTGCTCAACGAAATTTAGGTGCCGTCTTTACAGTGCAGGTAAAAAAGTGAAGATAAATAGATAAAAGGTCTGTCAGAAAATAAAAAATAAAAAAGTAAGAAATACAAATACACTATGCTATAAAATGTGGTCTCAAGCATCTTAATATCAGAAGCGGAAACACAGAAGCAGTTCACAGTGACAAGAGTAAAAAAAGATAAGCTGAATAAAATGTGGTCTTTAGCAGTTTAATATGAGGAACAGAAACACAGAAGCAGTTCACAGCTAAGACAGAGAGTCGTGTCGTAGTGCAGTGGGCGCAGTGCATTGACTTCTGTCTGTAAAACACAGTCTGAGGTGAACATGGACAAAAACCTGCCTGATGCTTCAGCAACAAGTAAGTAACATTAAGAGTGATCAGAGTGATACTGTTCTTGTGACTGATTTAGCAACAAGCTAAATATTGAGTGGGTTATTTTTACCCAGAGACAGTGTACAAGAAGTGAAGAGTTTTTTGTTCAAAGAACACAATATCAGACATGGCTTCCTAATAAGAAGAATGATGGTTTTGTATGTGTGGTATTTGCACACAGACAGAAAACTGGTTGTCCTGGGCCTCGGACTCCTGTGTATCCTCCAAGCTGCTCTYAACATTTCCCTGCGTCTTGCTCTTTGTAAGTTGTCTTTAATTTACTCTGTAATTCAATCCCGTGTTGTCTCCCCTGATTCACATGTGATAAAACCAGAAATTAAAAAGTTACATCAACTGACTATGATTATCATTTGACAGCTCTCTTGATGTTTTGTAGTTAGCTAGATTTATGACGAAACAGCATCTTGTACCTTGTGGTTGATGGTTAGACAAAATTCAGAGGTCATGTAAGAAAATAATAATGGGGCTTTCCAGTTSTGAGTCATGGTGTTTTCCTTTCAAATAAAATTAAAACCTTTTCACATATAAATGGATTTGCAGAAAATATTKTAAGTGTCAGATTTCTGACCATTTGTTTTCAATGTTAAGATTTAGATGATTATCTGGCATTGAAGGCTTAACACTAAATGTGCTGCAAACATTCTGGAGCATTACAAGGGACTTTGGGAGCCCCAGGCAAAGGGACCTCGATGTCCTACATGCATGGCACCAAAGTCAACTCCCGACCCAAAGAAACACATGATACCAAACCACATCATTCCAATATTCAAATGATTCTTTTAGTATCAAACTATAAACAAAGAATCTCTCTCACACACACACACACACACCAAACTTTGCAGGTTCTCTGGACATTCTCCGGGGGCTGGTCTAACTGAGAACCTCCATACTTTCTGCAATAACATGTATATGGAATTGCACGCCATATAAATGTTGGTCAAACATCTATATTGTACTGTGAATTTTACTTCTGACATAGTGGAWCRGTGACTGAGCTGGAACACAAGACACCTCTGTCTCTTTCCATTTTTCCATGGCACAGTAAACTCACCCTCAACCACAGAGACTGAAGGTTGTGTGTAAATCTCTTTGCTCACACAGACAGTTCTGATGAAAAAGAAGGGGACCAGCTGAAGAGGAASACATTTGGTGAATATGAGCTGAACTCTTTATGAAATGGAAAGATGAATATAACAGCAACATAAAGAAAGATGCAACTTCAATTTGTTCTGCTTTTTTCTTTTGCTGAGAAGTCCAGTTTATTTTATTTTCGTTATCTTCAACAGATCATTACACCCAAGAAGGATGGGTCTACTTTCGCTCTAGTTTCTACTTTATGTCCTCTGAGAAGAAATCCTGGCCAGCAAGTAGAGGTGACTGTCTGCAGAAAGGAGCGGACCTGGTGATCATCAACAGCAAAGAGGAAAATGTGCGAATGAGAATGACAACTCTTATGAAAGAGTAAAATCATACTGATTATATTCCAATTTGATATAATTATGGTCTGTCCCTCTGTCTCTGTAAACAAGGAATTCACAAGACAGTTCAGACAGCTCTTATGGATCGGACTGARTGACAATGAGACAGAAGGGACTTGGAAATGGGTGGATGGGACTTTGCTGAACACAAGGTTCATAAATAACCTTTTTGTTTAAATAGTGCTATTACTGAATAAAAAGGTAGTCTCTTTCTTTAACCGTTTGTAAAACACTGAACCCTGACTGCTGTGCAATGCAATATATAAAATATTTTYACTCTGCAACACTTTGCAATTTATTAAGTATTTATACAAACCAAAATGTCTGACAGAGATGAAGTGAGCAGAAATGACAATTGTAGTGAGAGGGATATCCCCAATAATGGTAGTATATATATATGAGTAGGCATATTGTGTATCAAAGCAAACTAGTTTTAATCATAAGCCACAATCAGCTGTCACCATGATCACAATCCACCATCACATGTAATAATTTATTCCCCATATAACTAATGACATGTACTTTAGTTCAGTACGTGTCAGTTCAATATTGATCTTTAATTTGCCTCTGTGTTTCTGGCTGTTTATTAAACAGGTCTGTTTGTGTGTGTTTCAGTTAAAAGCTCATTCTGATTTTAATTTCAGCTACTGGCACCCTGGGGAACCAAACTCTATTAACAGTGATGAAGACTGTGGAATGACAAAGTTCAATGAAGACAAATACAACTGGAATGATGAACAATGTAACACGCTGCACTTCTGGATCTGTGAAAAGATGTTGGCTTAATAATGCTGCACCCAAACACACCACACTGGTAACGGGTGAGCTGCAGGGAAAGTGGCTCATTAAAATGCAAGGACATAAACAGCCAAGATACGTTTTGACATGTCACCGTAGTAAGAGAACTTAATAACAAATATAATGATAGTTAGTCTGATTCAATCCGGGGTCCTGGTATTGTACATGCTGCCTGTGTCATTTGTTTTCATACTGTAGCTTCTGTAAACGTGCTTGCTGTTCTGACTATTTGTTACCAGAATCACACTTTGTCTTGTGAATAAATGTTTTGTATCCACTTTGTTAAAATGGTCTGGTTTTGATTTCCTATTGAAATTGACATCTTGACACACAGCAGAGGCCATCTACTTTTGGTACTGTGAATACACATATATATATATTTAGCTGTGAGCAAAAATTACACCACCCATGAATTGCAGTATCAAGTTAATGAAGAAGCTTAATTCTTTCTCTACCTAAATTGTGATGTTTAATCATAGAATCAGAACTGGAGAAATCTAAGTAAAAACTGTTGGCAGCAACAGGAGGCAAGTTGGTACAGTCAATGGAAACCCTACACCTCATACACCAACAAGCGTGTTTTTGAGTTTAGATAGACCCTGAATCTATAACTTAAGTAAAACCCTTACAGTTTATATCATTACTTTATAATGCCCCTGTTCAATTTAAGTGTTATCAAATACAAGAATAGGACAATCATGTAAATAATTTATACTGCTCCTGAGCTTTGTGAACAGTTCTTACTTTTTCACCACAGTAGCTCTGGAAGAGCTGTTATTGTCTTCATTCTAAAAGTAAAATAGCACAAACTGATAGACACACATATAGCCTGGAGCTTTAGAAGCCCCTCAGGGGTCTGGGGTCCTGGCATAGTCAGTAAAAGATGAGTAATGGATGGATGGATAGATGGATAGGTAATTGGATGGATAGAGGGATAGAGGAGGTGGATGTGTGGGTGGATAGATAAATAATCTTTAAACCTCTGAATCAAAAACACCTATGATATATGGATGAAATGTAAGTTCACATCATATATATTTACCACGAAGCAGTTAAAGTGTGTCTGCGTGGTCTCGTGAGTTATCTGAGTTGAATGCAGCAGCACATGCTGCATTTATCTTGGATTATTGCCTGCACTTCAGCACGGTCACCACCAGATGGCGGTACGCCCACATCGCGGGACACTTCCGGAAACAAAGAACGAGCGAAACGCCCAATCAGACAAGACTTGAGTTTGAACCGAGCCGATGGTTCCTTCTCTCTTTAACCGAAAACCACAACACAACAGCCAGCCACCCGCGACTCTGAGTGATTACAGACTCGTCTCTGAGCCGGTCAGTTGTTTATGTGCTGTGTTCCTCCAGTCGACAGCTGTTTCATGGGAACCCAGGAGGGAGAGAGAGGTAAGGCTGCCCAGGCTGAGTGCTCCTTGTCCGGGAAGAGCTAACGACACGTAACGCTAAGTTTACCCCCCGGCTAACGCTAGATACCCGGTCTACGCTAAGTTTCCTGCTGTCGCTGAGCCGGGCAGCTTCTAAAGGAGTTTTTACTTTACAGATAATGTTGTTTCGGTGACTACAGCTCAACTGTTACCGTTTTCTGATCATGTGTCCGTTAGTAAACACACCGCATTAGCATCAATAGCTAGCTACTTTTGAGTTCAGCAAACCGGTAAAGTTACAGTCAGTGGAGGCAGGGACGACTTCAGAGTGGTCGGTGACTTCAAGTTTGTGTGTTGTTCTATCGTGTGGTTTCCAAAGCCACTGGTTTAATTCATCACAGACAGGGTGTGTGTCGGTGTTAGCTGCTGGAGCGCTGTGTTGATGTGTGTGATGTTACTCCCCGCTCTCCAAGGCAAGTTTGCCGCGGATGGGCAAACATGACTGGATTATAGTTTACACTCTAGAGGAGCTGCTGAACCTGGATGTGAATAAATAACCAGTGACCGAACCAAGAGAAATCGCAAAGAAGATGTAGGATTCATGAATCTATATGATCACTTGGGGGACTGTATAAAGATGGACATGAATCTTATTTCCTTCTTGTTCACAGATTGGGTTGATGTGGCAAATGATCTGTTCAGCAAGTGTCACTTAAACCTGAGGCTGAGGTCACTGACGGAGTGTGATGCAAATGTTTTCATCACTCTGTATGAGAACATCTTGGGGGAGAAAGTTCCAGGTAAGATCAAGTCACTTTACAAATCTGAGGTCTATCAATGATGTTTTATGCCTCCCCACCTTGCTAACATATACATTATATATTGGTTATTCTGCAATAGGTGAATATTATATTGCGATAGTTATTTAATTACTTTATTGCCCAGCCCTAGTGTAACTACTTAAAGTTTAGTTAGTTTTTTCTTCAGCCTCTCAAATAATATAATAATAACTATTTGTATAGCACTCATCTAAACAAAGTTACATAGTGAGCTCTGTTGTTGTAATGAAAATAATATCTTAAATTGTGCCTTGGTGTCGTCAAGTGTTTCAGCCTATTAATCACAGTAACGTTGAGGAGTGTGACATATTGTTGCACAACTTTGTGATAAAAATGTTACTTTTACAAAACCAGCAGTTGACATCATACTTGCAATTAATATATTAAATAATCATCAGAGTAACTAATCATTACAATAACTTTGTTATAACTATTATCTAAAGTCTGTTCTTAAACTTGTGAGTTTAAACCTGTAAGGAAAGGCATTTAAATTACAATCATTAAGCTACAGCACAAACATTGAAGATTAACAAGCTGTAAGCTATGTGCTTAGTATGTAGAGAATTCTTCTTAAGACTGTTGAACACGCTATCACGAGATAGGAAAGAGCTCAGAGAAGTTTATGTAAATGCTTGTTTCTCAGCACTGTTTGTGTATTTTAATGTTTCTGTGGTCTCATGCGTACATTTTTAATTTTATTCACATTTGTGTGTTTAGATTACATTGCAGAAACATGCAGTCAAGAGGATGACGTCCATAATGTTCAGTCTATGATTGATTCATTGTCTCTGGATTACCTTCAGATCAGCCTCTCACACATTACAGGTACACCTTTCATTTGTAACCACAACAACTCTAAATGTCTGTATAAAAGCATATATATATATATATATATATATAAATGCATGCGTAAGCTTCACTATGATTTACTACTATAACTACATAACTTTTACTATCAACTTGAAACTTTAGAGATGCATGGCAGATTGCTCTTTCCTCTTTGCTTTAACAATAAAACTGATGAGCACTGAGTATAATGTTGACAATGGCTGTTGGTTCACAGGAGAAAATGTTGTCAGAGGAGACAAAGAGTCAATCAAGAACCTCCTGGAAATCTTTGATGGCCTCCTGGAATATCTCAACGAGGAGATAAGTGTGGAGTCACAGAATGGTGGTAGGCAGAATCATTTTTCACTTTCCTCTTGTCAACTCAATAGATGATATGCATGTTTTAAAAAAGGTTTTTTTTGAAGATCCAATCTTTGCAATTATTACACATAAAATGTGTTTTGTGCAAAAAGTAGAACACTTATTTTTAATCACATATTTTAAAAACACCATAATCCTTTCGAATTGTTTGTAAATAATTTTTTAGTAAGTTTTTTTGCTTTTAGAAACTCATAGCTGATGCTGTGTTCATTCTAATTACCTAACAAAACACATTTACAACAAAATAGCTCATTATTTTAAGAAACAGATGTTCAAACACCAGAACTGATAAAACAGTTTCAATCATCTAAACATTTAAAAACTTTCCGTACACCGTTGATACGCAATTATCAACATCATCTAGCCTTTGTCCTCAGTTTGCCTGAAACTGCCACTTCTCCCTCTTCTTGAGTAAGGACAGAAGTCCCTGTTGAAGTGAGATTGCCTGCCTGTCTGTCCTCCAGCATGAACTAGACGTAATGGGTCTTAATCCCAGTATAAGGCCAGCTGGTGCAGGACTTTCTAGGGAACAGTCAGCCTTCTTCATTAAGAGGAACTGAGTGTGTCTTTGTTTAATAGCCTGTCCCTCAGATCGGTGCCAAGTAGCAATTAGTAGTTGATGACTGTCGGCATTTACAAATGCTGTGTTTGTAAAAGGCTGAATGTGGCATACTGAAACTGGAGTTCAAGAGAAGCAGTGGCCTGTTTGTCACTTTTACCATGTGATTTCACATTTCAGAGTCAAATTACAAAAAGTGTCACTTCTGCATTCAGTGTTTAGTTTGGTTAATACTTACTGTATTTGTCCTAGTTCACTTTTTTTTTTGAAAGACTTAAACATGAACTCAGGTCTCAATCTCAAAGACTTTTTTGGGTGAGCTTGAGGTTTATCTTTTATTCTTTTTAATTCATACATTTTCCCACAAGTGTATGGCTGTTATTTCGTCACTTATTGGTTTCTTTTGTCATTCGTTGGGATTTTCTTTAATTGTCTTCCTCCTTTATTTTCAGAGGAACTGAGTAACGGTCTCAATGAGGATGTCCCCAGTGAAAAGGACTCAACAAACTGCAATGGCACAGATCTCAAGGAGACTAAAAGAGATGAAGCATCATTGTCTTCCACTGGAGAGTAAGAGCTTCTTCTAGATGAACTGCATGCAAATACTACAAAACACAGGATGACTTAATGAAACACTTGTGAAAGT